TATGCATCACTGTTTATTTCTTTTATTATAAATTATATATAATAAAATTATATGTAATTTATGAATATATGTAATTTAATTTTTTGAATATAGTACAGGTGCTCCCCTGCTTATGAATGGATTAAATTCCTGAGGTTTTATCTAAAGTCAAAATGTTCATAAGTCAAAAACTAGCATAGAAAGTACATTTGTACAGAGAATAACCATTATTGTTAGTGTTTGATCCATCATGGTACTTAATAGAATACATTATGTTTGTTTACCTGTTTGCTACTGCTTAGTAGCAGGCGTTTTGTTTTAAATGCTTTTTTTTTACCTAATGCACTTAGTTTTATAATGTCAAATTTAGTTTCCATGGTAATAGAGCTACACTTCTTGCATTTATTGCCACTGATAGATTTACTATTACATTTTGGATGCATTTCTAAAGCACTAATTATAAAAGTTTATAGACATTGTAAGCAATAGCAAAAAATGGCATTTTTCCAATGTTACCAACTTCAACACTACATCATGATTGGCAATGGAACCACAGAATTCATGCAAAAACAAATAATGATGATATGCAATAGAAATAAGTCCACATTAATTATTTATTAAAAATCTATTATTTATTCCTGGCCAAGACTGAATTCAATGCCATCCCATGAATGGCAAGAGAACTTCAGAATTGGTGTGAAATTTAAATTTTAGACATATGGTGAAATTGTTCATAAGTTGAATGTTTGTAAGTAGGGGAGCAGCTGTAAATAATTTAACTTAAGTTTTTTTCTGTTTTAAAGTAAATATAGTACTTTACATTAATTATTACATCACCAATTTTAGAGAGATGGACATTTATTCTGAATGTTTCACAAACTTTCTTAATAAAAATTATTAATAACCATTTTCAAACTAAACATACTTAGGATAAGTGAATACATATTTGATTTTAATAAATGTGTATCCATTAAATCTAGGTATGTTTAGTTTGAAAATGATTGTTAATAATTTTTATTAAGGAAGTTTGTGAAACATTCAAAATAAATGTCCATCTCTCTAAAATGTAGAATTAATGTTAGAAATTAAATAGAATTTAATAATTAGTGTTATAGGAATTAATTATAATGGAAATTAATGTTAAATTAATCAAAGTACAGGGTGCCCCAAATTAAACTTGACATTTTCCAGCTGGCTACAGCAAAAACTATTCATCAGAAAGTCATGAAAAAATTCCCATCATCTCATTAAGGCATTCTCAAACTTTCAAGACTTTATGATGGATAGTTTTTGTTGAAGTCAGCTGGTTTAATTTGAGGACCCTGTACTTTAGAAGAAACTCTTCAATTAATTTAATAATAGATTTATTGATTATTGTAATACATTTTTAACTTAAAATATCTTAAAATAGTTTCAACAATGTATTAATGAATTTAGTCAATTTAGAGAGATGAGGTAATAAGATAAAGGCACTAAAGCTTGACAAGTGCACTAATGGTTGACATTTCCAAGATGTTTTCTGGGGAAGAAATCTCCACAAATATATATGTATTATTTAGAAGATACAAAAGACAATCTCAAAGTTTTGACAATGAATTACTGCAATGGCAAAAAAAACTGTTCTTAAACAAAATGAATCTGATATTAGTATTATTACTTATTCACTATTAATGAAGGTACTTCCATTGCCAAAAATAATTGTGACTGGAGATAGGATCAAATACCAGTTATCTACATTAATTAATGGTTAAATGTCAACTGTTGATAGTCCAATAATATATCAACTTGTAGTGATTTTTGTTTTAGCTGTGTCAAGCATATAGTGCAAAGACATTGATTCAAGAATTAAAGTTTGTTTTTCTTTTTTAATTGCCAAGTACTTTTTTCAAAAAATTAAGTTAACTACAGAAAGTTTGTGTAGTGATTATGCTTGAAATTGTTTTTTAATGATAAAGAGTAAATATTTAAGTTATTAGCAGAAATAGAATATTTTTTTCTTAATGTAGCAATTATTAGTGCCTTTACCTTACTATGTTGTTTAATATTATAATATTCTTATATAATTTCATAAATCTTATTAATAAAAGAATATAGTTTGATATTTGAAAATAGTAAAGAAAATATGACAATCTTTATTTTATTAATCTTGAAAGTTGACAATTTAGATTATAAATTAAATTGATTACATAAACACTTTAAATAAAATAGTTTTTTGGTCTTGGTTCTGTAATTTATAGATTTTATAATTATGTCTAATATTTTAATAATTNTATATATATAATTTTTTTAAATATCCACATTTGTTATAATTGTTTACTGTTTAAAATTAATATATGACTAGAAATATTTCAATTTGGAATGTCTGTATGATGTAATTGACCCATGAACTCTAGTAATTCAGATTTTAATTTAGAATTCTATTTTTCTAGATTTTTCTGAAGTTAAATAAATTGTTTTAATTTTTATCTTCAAACATCTCAAAACGAATGAAACAATCTTTAACTGTAGAATTTTGTTTATTATAAATCTTTTTGTTTTTGCGTCAAATTCTCAATTATGAATCTGTTCTACTTTTTTTCAAGGAACCTTTGAATTGAAACACTTTTAAAGATGAAGCTTAAAGGCTTTGAAAACATTTGTATAATAACAAATAAGACTTCTACAATTAAATACTGTCTTATTTATACTGCAACATTTTTGTACATTAATGAGTATGGATGTTTTAGTAATACTTTCTGGTTGATTAAATGGTAGTCTACTTATAATGGAAAATATCCAACAATGAAATCATTTAATTAGTTTTAGTATAATTTAAAAGTTTTTGATGAATTATGAAAATATTTTTGATAAATTGCAATGATTTTGTGATAAAATTTTATGATAAACATTATTATTTGTATTGAAATGTCATAATGTTACTCTGTATGTTAATTAATATGTATTTAAATAAACTAGAAAAGAAAAGGAAAAAAAATATTTAATTGTATACAAAATATTTTAAGATTGTATTTATACTTCCTTGTATTTGTCAATAGCAAAAAAATAATACATTATTTCAAAAATATGTACAGTAGAACCTTGATTATCTGGACTAATTGGGGATGAAGGTAGTCCGGATAAGGAAAAATCCGGATAATCGAGGTTCTACTGTATTTCATTTAAAAGAGCAATAGTGTATTACAGGTAACCCCCGTATAACACGGCATTTCTATAGCACGGGTTCACTCTAACACGGTTCGGAAATTGGGTAAAACCCTCGTACAACATAAAATGTAATGAAGGGTGCGTTCTTTTATACCTCCGCGCGAGCATTCTAATTGTTTTCTTGGCTCTTTCAACAAATAATTCATTTAATGGTTAAATTATACAATTGGCACCCTTCTTTTGCCTCTAAAAGCTCATTTTAGAATTATAGATTCCTCCACACGATACTATCGATAGTGCGGGCGCCGCCATCTTTCTTTCACCGTCGCTCCTAAATNTTCACGGCTTTTAAGTAATGCATAAACCTTCGAGGCGCGAGGTCCTTCGGACCGCGAGGCATAGGCGGTGGCCCACGTCGTCCATGCCTTACGCCGCCCTTGGTCGTAGAAATGATGTAATTTGAATATAAATTATTTATAAATACGTATGTCAAGTTATATTTTTATTATGACGTAAAATATATTTAAGAGTTTACAACCACCGGGTGAGACGTTGTTCAAACAAAAAAGTTATGCGTTCCATCACACACATAAACAATGTCATAATTCACCAAGTGCAAATCAGCAAATTCGTAAAATTTTTGTTTATTTTGAACAATCCGGATAATCGAGGTTCTACTGTATTTCATTTATACATATATTTGAATATTAATTCAAATAGTAATTAAAATAGATCAATTAATTTAAAAGTTACTGTAATAATCATTTTCATTATTATTTATAAATTGCACCAAAATTTGAATTACTGTTTTGATCCTGATCCTTTCACATTTAAAGAGTTTTTATAGTAATAAATTGATCAGACATTATCATATTTTCATTGATTGTGCAAAGTGGTATGGAATTTTATATACCAGTTAAATATTTCTTTAGATTAATTTTAATAATAATTTTACTTTTCTTGTCAAAGTAACTTAGGCTAAGACTCCATTAGCGTAAAATGAGTGTAAAAACCCTCACTGTAAATACTTTTAATCACATGACCATGATATTTTATTCGTAAAACTAGCATAAAGCAAGGTGAGCAGTGTTCAACTTTTGACACAAATATGTCTGTAAAATGGTACCATCAACCAATAAGAAGTCAGTAGAGTCTGTGTCATTGTGACATTGTGTGAAAATTGGCAGGAAATGAGCTTTAATGTCATGGTTACTTAGAAAAGAACTAGAATAGATCTTGGAAGATTTATTGAAAACATCCGAAAGTATCCATTTATATATGACAAGAAACATCCTGATTATAAAAATGGTTTGTTTGGGCATTCAGTCTAAAACAAGCGATATGGACAGCCAAAGGAAAATACTTCAATTTAGATGAGTATATAACAAAAAGCTAAGCATATAAGTGCAGTATAGTATTTTAATAATATGATGATAAAATTAATATATGAAAGTAAAGATATTATTTTTTACGTTTGTAATTATAGTACAAAAAAAATCACTGTTTTTATATTGATATATCACATATTCAACCACAACTTTGATAGTACCATTGTAGTAAAAACTTTGCTAGTGGAGCTGGACCACCATCGCAATCCAAATGCAAATAGGTCAAGTGATTAAAAGTATTTACAGCAAGAGTTTTTACACTAGTGGAGTCTTGGCCTTAATGTGGTAGAAATTGAAATTAACAAAGATTTAAATTTAAAAAATGTATTTTATAAAAATTCAATTTTATTAATGAATTTATGTAAGATGAAATTAATTCGTGTGTGTTTTTTTTAGCTGCTGGTGCAACAGTTGTTTATCCTATTGATCTTGTAAAAACGCGAATGCAGAATCAGCGTTCTGGTTCCTATATTGGTGAATTAATGTATAAAAACAGTTTCGATTGTGCTGCAAAAGTGATACGTCATGAAGGAATCTTTGGTTTATATAGAGGTTTGATGCCACAATTAGTGGGAGTTTGCCCTGAAAAAGCCATTAAATTGACAGTATGTAGCATTTTATCATTATTTTTTAATATCAATAATAAAATCTTATGATAATTTTTATTGTGAAAATATAGATTGGTTTAAATTTAGATGTAATTGATATGGAATGCTATTTCTGAAATAACTATTCTCCCTGATAGCAAAAGGTTTTATTAATAATTATATTGTTTTTAATTGTCAAGAGGAATTGTTGTAACATACAAACTCATATTATTGATGATTATATCAAATCATTAATCAAATTTATTATAGTATTGTATTCAAATTTTCTGAATGCTTAAATATATTTAGTAGGCTTTAATTTTTGCTTAAAAAATTTTGATGTTAATGTAAATAAAAAGTTTCTTGTCTCTCGAAAATAAATATAAGAGCCAAACGTCTTCCAACACTAGAGGAGTTATACTTCAACACATCAAACAACCTTTCCAGCTCCAGTGATATTTGTTTACACCTCAGCAAACGTTTTCAACCTCATCGAGGTCTTCATCAGGCTACTTTACTTAGGAATTCGAACGCGTTTGGAACGGAATCGTATACGTTCCGTTCCAAACGCGTTCGAATTCCTAAGTAAAGTAGCCTGATGAAGACCTCGATGAGGTTGAAAACGTTTGCTGAGGTGTAAACAAATATCACTGGAGCTGGAAAGGTTGTTTGATGTGTTGAAGTATAACTCCTCTAGTGTTGGAAGACGTTTGGTTCTTATATAACTAGCTATGCCGGCTAATTCGTACAAGAAGTTGGTTTTAACCCTAAATATAAGAGTTTGAATCATAAATAAAGATAAATTAAGATAAGTTTTAAATCTTGTTATTACTGTGTATAAAATATATCATTTAATATTGATTGATATTTTTTCCCTTAAAGTATATATTATATCACTATGAATTTTTGAAACACAGCATTTATATTTAACAATTTAAATCAGAAATATTTTAAATAAAAGAACTTTTAAATAAATAGGTGAATGATTTTGTTCGAGACAAGCTAAGAAGCCCAAAGGGAGAGATACCTGTCTGGGGTGAAATATTTGCAGGATGTTGTGTAAGTTTCTTTAACTTTGATTACTAAGAAGAGACCTAAGTGCATAGCTAACTCAAGTCACATTGGTACTTTAAGGTTAGTAGGGTTCTCTGTCTGTAATCCTTATACTGTATGTTAAAATATAGTTAACATCATTCATAAATATTTAGATGTCTGATAAACAAAAATATCTAATTCTGATCACTCAAATTATATTCTAATGCATTTCAAACATTAATACAATTTCATGTATGAGATCAGGTGATATAAGTTTATTAAAATTTTTTCAATATAGGTAATATTAAAAGCAAATTTTTATATCGGATTGTTTTAAGTATGAGAAATTGTGCAAATTTTATAAAATAAATATATGATTTAAATATATAAACATATTAGGAAAACGTTTTATAACTAAATATGAGCTCATGAATGTGTTTTAAATATTTATGATTATAAAAATAAAAATTGCTCTAAGCTAATAGTGATGTAGAAAAATAATGCTATATAATTAATGAAATTATATAATTAATATAATTTATTTCACGTAATTATAAAATTGCAATACATTATATGCTGTATATAAGTTTTGCTATAGTTTCCAAAAATTCTAAAAAAGAATATAAATTTGACAATTTGTTTTGGCATTAAATACTTTATATTTGCATTTTAAACATATAACATTACAATATAATATTAAACATATAACATTATAACAGCAAATAATTTTCCCTGCATTATGATTTCATAATGTTTGTAGTGTTCATAAACACAACTTCAAAAATCTGGTAAATTAAAATGTCAGATTTGCATTTGAAACTTTTGGAACTTTAAAGTCATTATTTGAAATTCATATCTTTACAAAAGAACATTCTTATTAAAATATTTTTATTCTACTATGGACTATATGCAAACCAAATAATTACAATATATAGTTAAGCATTTATCTTACTGTTTATATTTTATTGTAGCATTAAACAAATTAGCCTTTCTCAGAATTGAAATATTAATTATTTATATTGTAAGCAATTTGCAACAAACTTGAATCTATGGAATACTTCAATTTTCTTGTTATGGAGTTGAAAAAATAACTTTCTTTGGAATAATACTGGATACAAAATGTTTTTTAGTTTCTTCAGAATTAAAAAAAAAAAAAATAAAAATCACTGGGAACAGAATCTATGCTTGATAAAATTTATTACCTTTGCTATAATTATATATGCATGCCATTTACAGTATGCAACTCTGCATTATTAGACAATTTGTCTGCAACTAATTAAAAACCAAATGATTGAATTTCATTTGAATAGAAATTTGCATGATATTATATGTATAAAATCATTGCAATTTCTGCTGGAATTGCATATGTTCAGATATGTTTGTCATCTTTGAGATGATGATATAAGATCTGTAATCTTGTGATGAAAGTAGTTGGACATGCAAGCATGCTGTTTTGGTTGTTATTTAATGACATTGCAGAAAATTTAAATGAATTTAAATCTTCTTACATAATGCCTTTTTAGATCTGTTTGCTTTGAATATTTAATAGTTTTTTTTTTATAGTATTTGTTGTAGTAATTGTTTAGTTGTTTTTGTTGTGTTTTTGCATGTCATAATTAGTTTATATTATGCATTTTTGCATTTTATTACTTGTTTTAGTTATTTGTAATTTTTGAAATGTTATTGTACATTTGATATATGTATGTTTTGTTCATTAACCCTATCATATTCTTTGTGAACTGATAATCACTGGAATAAGTTCCAAAATGAATATCTCATTTGAAATATACACTACTTAAGATACTGGAGTAAGTATTATGTAGAAATAGTGTGACAACCTTCTTCCATGGATTCAAGGTCAAAATTTAAAATGGCCATTCAGTGAGATTATTACTTGTATATTGCAGTACAATTATAAGCAAAGTACTGAATAATTTATTTATTCTTCCAGTTTCAGAGATATTTTTTCATTATAAATTTTTATTACAAGTGTATTTCTTTTGTTCAATATGAGTTGATATTATTTTGCTTTTTAAGAAATGTGTCTGAATACACAAACTTTTGTTGATACTGGCTGTGTGAGTAAATCTTGTCTTTCATTGCTTTATAATTTACAATTTTGCTTATTCTGCAGGTTAATGCTAATCTTGCCTTACAATCATTCAATAATAAATTTTTTAATGTAATGTATAAATATAATCTCAAAATTTTAATCCTTAAAATTATAAAGGTTTGTTCTGTAATCTGAGCTAATATTCAAAATAATTTATTTTTGGCTAAATTAAATGTTGCTTTACTGTAAACTAGAATATTCTCATAGATTTACAATTATCAGAACTGCTTCATTAACTGAAGTAACTTCTATTAAAATTAATTTGGATAATAAACATTTTGTTTGATTGCATGCATTTGAAATATCCTCACTATGTGGCCATATTAGATCTTGGTTGAATCCATGGCAGTATATAAAGAAGTTGAAAGGTGCAGTCTCTAGTCTTTATTTATTCTATGCTTATAGAGTAATTAATGCTGAAAAATTTGACCTACAGCATATATTCATTTTAACATCCACTTTTATAATATAATTTAGTACATAGATAAATGTTATATACAGTTTATGCCAACAATGATTTGAGAATATGTTTGATGTGTTGAAGTATAACTCCTCTAGTGTNGAGTTAGAAATTTGTTAAGTTATGAAAAATTCTTAGCTATTATAGGGATAAAGATGAATAAATTTACACATTACAGTAGAGCGTCGTTTATCCGAATCAATTGGGGACTGGGGTTGTTCGGATAACTTATTTTTCGGATAATCGATTATGTACGAAAAAATATATTAACCTATCCCGTGTTGAAATTTTTCTCCATTGCGTGTCGCTTTGCATTGAATTTTTGTCAATGTTAAGCCTAACATAAACTTTTTAAAATAATAATCGTGGCTATTGTATCGTTAAAAATTATTTCTTTATTTTGTACAAACAAAATAAATATATTGAAAAATATAAAAAGAAAAAAAAAATATACTTCAGAAGTTGATCTAGTATCAAAAACATTCGATTCAGCACGACACACAGTCCTCAGAAAAACACCACACAAAAGTGCCAGTGCTGCCAGCTAAAACACACACACCAACAAAAAAAATATTGGAGTAGCCCAAGATATAGCCAAAGATTGCAGTGCCACAGCACTAGCGAAAATTTAAATTTGCCAACTGGAATTCTTTTGGATAACCGACTTTCGGATAAATGACACTCTACTGTATATAAAATTCTGCATTTATATTATTTTTTCATTCTTTCTAAAAAAGAATGAATACTTAGGGTTGACTTGTTCTTCAGAAAATTTAGCATTTTGGTATGATCAAACTAATTTTCTTTGATTTTTGTAATTAATTTTGATAAATGAAAATTAAAAATTATAATCATGAGTGAGAATTGGAATTACTGAAAAGTTGATATAGAAATCTTTTCAAAATATTAAAATAAATGTAAAAAAATGTTTGTATTAATAAACTATATTAAAAATTTCATAGTTGGCAATATATACTATTTATTTTTACTGCATACTGATGTAATGATTTTCAATTGATAATTTGAAAATATAATTTCAAAATATTGTATGAAAAGACTTACAAGTAATAAAATTTGTTTCCTCAAACTGAAATAACATTGAAAGTAATTTGATATTGTAGTTTTAAAATTTAATATAATATTAAAATAATAATTTTAATAACAAATTTTACTTATATAAAAAAAATTGCTGTGATTCTAAAAGTTAAAATCATACTAAAAATGGAGAGAGAGTGTTTACTTATTTAGAAATTTGTTATCTTAGTCAATGATATAATTTTCTTCTATTTTTTAATGATAAAATAAATCATAAAATACACAAAACATTATTTTAAAAATACATATTTACTTGAAACTTTCTTATTCATGATTATAATCAATTATTCCATTAAATATTTAGTAATGTTTGTGTCTATAATTGCTTTAGGAGCTATCAGTAATGAATACATTTAATGATTATAATTATTATGATAGCAACAAAAGCAGTCATAGTAGCAAACATTTTTTGGCATGAATAAGAATAAGCTAAGTTTTAAGAATTAAGAAGAAAATAAAATTGATCAACATATTTCAAAGGGCATGTTAAATGATTGATTATTGTACATCAGATCACTAATTATAGTATGATATATTGAATTAAACTCCAACATTATATGTATACTTCCTATCAGTATACAATTTTATTTTAAGAATTTGTTTTCAGATATTAGTAACAGTTAAAATACATAGGAATTTTTTTTAATAGCATGAGGACTTCTTGATTTTAAAATTTCTTTTATTAACAATTATTTTATTTTAAAAATTATTTATGCTATAAGAAATGTTATAGTAATGAAATTTAATTTTCAATATTTAACCTTAGAGATCACAGGAAGTTTCTCAATCTGTAAGTAGTTTGTAAGAATTTATAAAACTATTTACAGATTTATTTTATAACGTTTAATAACTTGAATTATGCTGGACTTTGAACTCAAATGAGAGTTATAAATAAACACTTGGCTTTATTTCCATCACTTTTTAGTTGATACATGACAACAGCACGTTTTGGGCATAAAGCTCCTCCTCAGTCAACTAAAAGATACAATTTTTAAAAATATTACATAAAATATCTAATAAAACATTATTATATTTTTAACTGATATTAAAAATATAATAATAAAAGATACCTATAGAATAGCAAGTTTGGACATTACTAATATGTACCCTTCAATGGTATGGGATATTGTAGATAAAAAACTAAAAAAAAATTAATGTAGAACAAGAAATAATAGACTTAATAAACTTTTTGTATAGCAGTAACTATTTTGAAATGGAAGGTGGACACTATACTCAAAATGATGGGATTAGTATGGGTTCTGTAGTAGGACCAAAATTGGCAGAGATAGTGATGATCGACATAGATGAGAAAATAAACAAAATGCAAGAGATACAATTTTATAGGCACTACGTTGATGATGTTTTAATAATATACAATGAAAGTGAAACTACAATCAACAATATAGAAGTAACCATAAACAGCATAAACAAAGAAATACAGTTTACTGTAGAAGAAGAGAATAAAGCCAATAAAAGTATAAACTATTTAGATTTTACAATAAAAAGGAACAAAAACAACTTAGAATTTAAACCCTATAAAAAACCATGCTCTATAGATGTAACAATTTGATATGACTCTAATATTCCTTCATATATAAAATATAACATTTTAAAAATGGAATACATAAAAATTACAACAAGAACTAGCAATCTTACAGATATAAATGTTTACATAAAAGAACTAAAAACGAAATTTGTTCTCAACAGATACCCTAATAGTTCAATCGATCGCTGGGAAAACAAGATAAATAGTAAAATGAATAATAAAAAACCAAAAAAGCTAAATATAGATACAAAATATATCAGTTTTCCATATATAAAAGGACTATATGAGAACATCAACAAAGATTTACAAAAAATAAATGCAAAATATGAAAATTAGAAAATAGATTAAGACTGGTAAAACCTAATAAAGAATAAAAAACAAAGAATGTAGTGTATAAGATACCGTGTATCTGTAATACAACTAACTACTATATAGGAGAAACTAAATGCAAACTGAGTATACGAGTAAAAGAACATATTGCAGATCGCAAATGTAATCAACTAAGCTCTGTTTTTCATGACCATTGTTTAATAAATGACTGTAATATAGATAAAAATAATGTTAAAATCCTATACAAAGAGAAAAATATGTATAATAGAAAATTTAAAGAAAGCGTCTCAATTTTAATAGCCAAAAATTGTATGAATAAAAATTTAAATGTAAAAATAAATGAGAACTGGATGAAAATATTATAATACACACAAAATACATTAATGTTGATTGTAATTATCTATAAAGGCTGTTGTTAATATTAATAATATCTTTCTTTGTAATATGCAAATTAGTACAAAACTGCAATGCAGTATGTAACTTAGATACGATTAAAAAACAATAATGTAAAAAATTGTCTATTTCTCTTTCGAGATATATATGTGATTATGTCTAAGATTCCTGGATATTGTCAAATAAGCAAAAGATCATTTATAGCAAATTCTAATGAAATTATTCCACTTATTGTAAAATAAGTTGTGTGAGCCTATTGGGTTAAGACCTTGTATGTATAACAGATTAAAAATGAATATAGTAAGAAATATACATTATTTTAATTCTGTTTTATTAGGTATTTTATGTAATATTTTTAAAAATTGTATCTTTTAGTTGACTGATGAGGGCTTTATGCCCAAAACATGCTGTTGTCATGTATCAACTAAAAAGTGATGGAATAAAGCCAAGTGTTTATTTATAACTCTCATTTGAGTTTGAAGTCCAATATATTTGCAAAACACGGTTTCAAAAACAACATTGAATTATGCCATTAATTTCTGTGTCAAATCTAAAAAATAGTTTTATAAATCAAAGGTTTAAATATTGCAATTTCAGTTCAGATATTTTACTATGTTTTTCTTCAAAAAGTCCTAAAAATATTTTTTTATAAGCAATAGTTTTAATTCAGAGTAACAGTCTTATATTTGACATTGAAATTATGATTGTGTTTAGTTAAAAGTAATAATGTAATAATATCATAAATCTGATGTTCTTAAAATATTTCATATATATAACTTCTGCATTTAAATGATTTTTTGAGTTCTACTCCATCTTAAGATTCAGGCACAAAACTAGAAGAAATATTTGAAAGATTTGATGATAAAATAAATAATTTTGTATATTTGACAAATTTTATTTGTGCACTTAATAATAATTAAACTTTGTATATGATTTCACTTGCAAAAAATACAAATACAGTATAAGCTAATTGGAACAAGAAGTATTTTATACAGAAAATGCATTATTCAATAAAAAAAAATAAAAGTTTTACATCAAAACTTAAGCAGTAATTATTATAATTTCATGCTGACTGAAAACATTTATTTCCTTTTTACTATAAAATGTTTTATATATAAAAATTTTACTTCATATAAATATTTGTATATTTATCAATTTATTAAAAATACAAAAATTTTATTTCTTTAGTAGTAATTATATTTGATTAGAAGTTTAGCACAGAATATAAATATTTTATTGAAAATAAATGAGTAAATAATAATACAGCTTCATTTCATATTTAACAGTTGCCAATATGAAAGGAAGAAATTTATTAATTAATGGAATATTATTTTTTATACATGATAAAACTTTCAGTGAATCTCTGAGGTATTCTAGAATTTAGTGATTTATTATACATTATATCAAGTATAGGATAACATCTAATAAATACTTGATGTAATGTGATAACTTACAAATTCATGCCAACTTAAATAGGTTTTTGTATTTTTATAATTTTATTTGATTTTTAAATGACATTTAAAAATTATGTAATTAGAATAAAATAATTTATATATAATTTTTAATTGTTAAATATTTAAGAAAACAAAACCAAAATGTTTTTGTTTACAATTAGCTGTTTTGCCGTATTGTGCTAAACAATGTTTCTCACAGGGAAATGGACATTTTTCATCAATGAAGTAATAGGCAGGAAAAAAAGGAAAGTGCTGCTGTAAGTACATGTGTAGTAAAATACACATACTTACACAGGGATGTGCAATTATTATCCATTATTTCAACGTCATTTCAGATGTTTCAAAATCTGCATTTGAATAGATGGTATTTGCAGTAGGTTTAAGTTAGCTGTATTGTTTTTACAGATTAAACATTTAATTAAATTTAATACTCAAACTATAATAAATAAAATATGTGCGTGCTATTATGTGATTAATATTTATGTATAAGTTTTAAAGATTTATCTATAAATTATGTACTATCATTATTATTATTTTTTATTATTATTTATGCAATTTAATTTTCTCTAATATTTTAAGAGAAAAATAAGTTTCAGGATTTCTTTCATATTTAAATAGTTAGATTTTTACATACTATATGTATGTGTTTAGAAAATTATAGATTTCTCAATTCTCTATTCCAGTTTAATAATTTTATCTTCAATAGAAGGAAAAACAGTTCTAGATTTAGTCACTAGGTGGTGGTCTAGGTATGCTTCACTTTCTGTTTGGTGTCTTTTATTCTGTCATTGCTGTTTTGCAGTGTTTGATCTCTAACAAGTACCTACAGCATGTTGGAAAGTCTTCTAATTTGTAAGTGATTTTTTTAACCTTTAATCTACAGAATTATAAGTACTGTTAAAGAACCTGTAGCAGTTACTGTAATCACACACAATAAACACACCGATTATAATAGGCTGAAATCATGTGAAGCATGTTTCGTGACCACCTGACTTGTTTCACCAGAAATAGTTATGATTTACTAGTTACCTTGAAGCTAATTAAGGAAAATTTATTTTGAAAACCATTGCTGATGCTCTGTTGGGGTAACATCAAATTTCTTTTTGGAAGATACCTGGAGGATTTGGAAAATTGTCCATTTTTAACAGCTTCCTTTTCATTTTAAATGTGAAAACAGCTTCAGTCATTGTATGCATTCATAACTTTACAAGGAGAGAAACAGCAAGTGGAACCTACATACCTATTACACTGAAGTCCTTGCCCTCAGATTATTGTATGCATATTTTTGAGTACTTGCTTGATTTCTTGGAAGATTTAAGTATAAATGTGCATAGAATCACAGGATTCTGCGGCAGATTATGAAAGGATAAGCCTTGAATTTGTTGGAGGCAGATGATCATTGAGGTTCATAACAATTGGATGGCATGTTTAGATAACTTTTTTTTAGTACTTTCAAAATCTATGTTAGAGTTTCATAAACCAACATATCTAAGTTTAAACAATAGTTCACATACAGCTTAATAAGGTATAAAATCACCATGTATTTCATACACTAATTTACTATTAAAATCATGAAGTAATGTGTGTACTTATATTTTTAATTTCAGCATACATTTATTGTTTTATTGAATAATAAATGTTTTATATCAAACAGCCTGTTGTAAGTAGAGTGTTTATTGTATCTCATTACAATAACTTCTACAGGTTCTTTAACAGTACATAAAACTCTAGAGTGGATTGAAAGTAAAAGAAAAACTTACAAGTTAAATAAAGACATTCCAATATGCTATAGGTATTTGTTTAAAGATCACATACCACAAAAACAGCAATGATAGAATAAAAGATACTAAACAAGAAATGAAGAATATCTAACAGAATCTAGGGACCAAATCTAGAACTGTTTGTTTTTCCTCCTATTAGTTTAAAGATTCAGATGCATATCATTTGCTATTATTATTTTTTTATATCTTAATAAAATTTTAAATATTACTTATATATTAATGACCACAGATTATTTTGAATTTGATCAAGAGTAGTTGCAATAAAATAAAAAATCTCAAAAATTTAATGTTCATTCGGTTGTAATTTGAAAAAATTTTAAAACTATAAATTTTCACTGTTGTGTGTCTGTCTGTTCCTTCCTTAATCTCAAGAATGGAGTTAGATGGATGAAAATCAAGACCAGATATGGAAAGCCTAGGGCCAAAGGCCCAATTAACTATATATGAACTTTCAGTTTGCACCAGAAGTTGTATTTCAATTCAAAAATTTTTCCTTTAAAGGAGTTAGAAAGACAACTGGCACAACTCAATTGCAATTTGAAAGTTTAAATTTTTTCTTTCCTATTCTACATATATTAAACCTGTTGTTAATAATTTTTTTATATTTTGGAAACATTTTAAATGAAAATTTTCTTTGATTACTATTGTTTAAATCTTAAGAACATGAATAAAGACAATGAAAGTAAAATATTTATTCTTAGATATTTTATCAAATTTTTAAAAATAATTACAGGTTATCTAAAAAAATTTTTAAAATATATGTATAAAATGAATAAAGTTGTGATAATTCTGCCATTATTGATTCATTTTTATCTATATTTGCTGGAATACAAGCTTATTTTAATTAAAACTATGTTAATTTATTACAAATTGTTGAGCCATCATTGATGTCCATTATTGAATAATTTGCTAACTAAATCAGTACATGTTTATTAAATAAACAGAGATGATCAAAAACTATTAAATAGGTT